AGCAATACAGGCCTACCTCAACAAGCAAGAAAAATCTCAAATAAGCAACCTAACCTTACACCTAAAGGAGCTGGAAAAAGAACAAATGAAGCCTAAAGGCAGCAAAAGAAAGGAAATACAAAAGATTAGAGAAGAAATAAATGATACAGAAACAAACAAAAACACCCCAGCAGAACAGATCAATGAAAACAGGAGCTGGTTCTTCAAAAGAATAAAATTAATAAACTCCTAGCCAGACTTACCAAAAAGAAAAGAAAAGGATCTAAATAAATAATGAGAATGAGAGAGATTACAACCAACACCACAGAAATATCAATAATTAGAATACTATGAAAAATTATATGACAAGAATTGGGAAATCTGGAAAAAATTGATAAATTCCTAGAAACATATAAACTACCAAACCTAAACTGGAAGAAATAGAAAACTTCCACCAATAACCAGCAAAGAAATTGAATCAATAACCAAAACTCTCCCAAAAAAACAAAAGTCCGGGACCAGATGGCTTCCCAGGGGAATTCTACCAAATATTTAAAAGAGAGTTAATACGTGCTCGCTTCGACAGCACATATACTAAAAGAGAGTTAATACTTATTCTGCTCAAACGGTTCCAAAAAATAGAAATGGAAGGAAAACTCCCAAACTCATTCTATGAGACCACCTTATTTTCATTCTAAAACCAGACAAAGACCCACTAAAAAAGAGAACTACAGGTCAATATCCCTGATAAACATGAAGGCAAAAATTCTCAACAAAATACTAGCAAATCGAATCCAACAGTGTATTAAAAGAATCATTCACCCCAGTGAAGTGGAATTTGTTCCTGGGCTGCAATGTTCAGTATTCATAAATCAATCAACATAATACACCACACTAATAAAAGAAAGGATAACCAGCATATGATCCTCACAATAGATGCAGAAAAAGCATGTGACAAAACTCAGCGTCCATTCTTGATAAAAATCCCCAACAAAGTAGGGATAGAGGGAACATACTGCAACATCATTAAAGCCATATTCAAAAGGCCATATTCAAAAAGCTAATATTATCCTCAGTGGGGAAAAACTGAGAGCTTTTCCTCTATAGTCAGGAACTACATCTACATCTACAGATGTAGCTCTACAGACACGGATGGCCACTCCCACTGTTATTTAACATAATACTGGAAATCCTAGCCTCAGCAATCAGACAACAAAAAGAAATAAAGGCATCCAAATTAGCAAGGAAGAAGTCAATCTATCACTATTTGCACATGACATGATACTCTGTAGAAAACCTAAAAGATTCCACCAAAAAATTACTAGAACTGATAACACAAATTCAGTAAAGTTGCAGGATACAAAATCAATGTACGGAAATCTGTTGGATTTCTATACACCAATAAAGCAGCAACAGAAAGAGAAATCAAGGAATTGATTGTACCAAAAACTGTAAGATACCTAGGAAGAAAACTAACCAAAGAGGCAAAAGATCTGTACTCTGAAAATTATAGAACACTTATGAAAGAAATTGAAGAGGACATAAAGAAATGTAAAAACATTCCATGTTCATGGATTGGAAGAACAAACTTTGTTAAAATGTCTACACTCTCCAAAGCACTCTACACATTTAATGCAATCCCTATCAAAATACCACTACAATTTTACACAAAGCTAGAATAAATAATCCTAAAATTTGTATGGAACCACAAAAGACCTGAATAGCCAAAGCTATCTTGAAAAAGAAAAGCAAAGCTGGAGGCATCACAATTCTGGACTTTATATTACAAAGCTGTAATCATTAAGACAGTATGGTACGGCACAAAATCAGATACATAAAAACCAATGGAATAGAATAGAAAATTTAGAAATGGATCCACTACTATTGGGTCAACTATTCTTCAACAAGCAGGAAAGAATATCCAATGGAAAAAAGACGGTCTCTTCAACAAAAACTGGACAGCAACATACAAAAGAATGAATCTAGGGATGCCTGGGTAGCATTGTCCATTGCACATCGAACTCTTGGTTTTGGCTCAGGTCATGAGATCACTGCACTCAGCATGGAGTCTGCATGAGTTTCTCTCTTCCTCTCTGTCTGCCTCTTCCCACCTCACACTCTCTCCCTCTCTTAAATTAAAAAAAAAAAAAAAATGGGGGCGCCTGAGTGGCTCAGTGGGTTAAGCCTCTGCCTTCGGCTCAGGTTGTGGTCCCAGGGTCCTGGGATCCAGCCCCGCATCAGGCTCTCTGCTCAGCAGGGAGCCTGCTTCCTCCTCTCTCTCTCTGTCTGCCTCTCTGCCTACTTGTAATCTCTGTCTGTCAAATAAATAAATAAATAAAATCTTTAAAAAAAAATGAAAATAGACTACTTTCTTACACTATACACAAAAATAAATTCAAAATAGCTGAAAGAACAGGGGTACCTGATGGCTCAGTCAGTTAAGCGTCTACCTTCGGCTTAGGTCATGATCCCAGGGTCTTGGAATCAGGGCCCACATTAGGCTCTCTGCTCAACGGGGAGCCTGCCTCTCCCTCTCCCTCTGCCTAATGCTCCACCTGCTTGTGCTCACGTGCACTCTTTCTCTGTCAAATAAATAAATAAAATCTTTAAAAAAAAATTGATTAAAGACCTAAACATGAGACAGGAAACCATCAAAATCCTAGAGAGGAACACGTGCAGCAACCTCTCTGACATTTGCAGTAGCAACTTCTTACTAGATACATCTCTGGAAGCAAGGAAAACAAAAGCAAAAATGAACTATTGGGATTTCATCAAGGCAAAAAGCTTCTTTACAGCAAAGGAAATGATCAACAAAACTAAATAAATAGCACCTTTGGAATGGAAGAAGATATCTGGAAATGACATATCTGATAAAGGGTTAGTATCCAAGATCTATAAAGAAGTTATCAAACTCCTTCCCCAATAAACAAATAATCCAGTTAAGAAATGGGCAGAAGGGCGCCTGGGTGGCTCAGTGGGTTGAGCCTCTGCCTTCGGCTCAGGTCATGATCTCAGGGTCCTGGGATCGAGTCCCGCATCCGGCTCTCTGCTCAGCGGGGAGCCTGCTTCCCCCTTTCTCTCTGCCTGCCTCTCTGCCTACTTGTGATTTCTCTGTGTGTCTAATAAATAAATAAAATCTTAAAAAAAAAAATGGGCAGAAATGTGAATAGACATTTTTCAAAGACATATAGATGGCTAACAGACATACAAAAAGATGCTCAACATCAGTGATCATCAGGGAAATGAAGTCAAAAGTACAATGAGGTATCACTTCACACCTGTCAACAACAAAGGAAACAACAGATGTTGGTAAGGATGCAGAGAAAGGGGAACCCCCTTGCACTGTTGGCGGGAATGTAAACTGATTACAGCCACTCTGGAGAACAATATGAAGGCTCCCTAAGAAGTTAAAAATAGAACTGCCCTGCCGTGCCTCCCTGGTGCAGTTGGTTAAGCCTCCCACTCTCAATCAAGAGCCCACTCAGGTCATGACCTCAGGGTCCTGAGATCAAGCCCCAACTCGGGCGCCGCCCTCTGCATGGAGTTGGCTTGCCTCTCCCCCATCGCACACCCACACACTCTCGCTCTCTCTCTGATAAATACATAAATAAATAAAATCTTTTAAAAAAAGAACAGGGGCGCCTGGGCAACTCAGTGTGTTAAGCCTCTGCCTTTGGCTCAGGTCATGATCTCAGGGTCCTGGGATCCAGCCCCGCATCAGGCTCTCTGCTCAGCAGGGAGCCTGCTTCCTCCTCTCTCTCTGCCTGCCTCTCTACCTACTTGTGATCTTACTCTGTCAAATAAATAAATAAAATCTTAAATAAAATAAAATAAAAAATAAGAAATAATTTAAAAATTTAAAGAAAGAATAAAAACAGAACTACCCTACGACCCAGCAACTACACTACTACGTATTTACCCAAAGGATACAAAAATACCAATTTGAAAGGACATATGCACCCTGATGTTGACAGCAGCATTATCAGCAATAGCCAAATTACATAAAGATCCCAAGTGTCCAGCAACTGATGAGTGGATAAAGAAGCTGTACATATATTTATGAATATTCATATATATATGAATATTACTCAGCCATAAAAAAGAATGGAATCTTGCCATTTGCAATGACATGGATAGAGCTAACGACTTAGCTCTGCTTAGTGACTTAGTGACTTAACTAAGTGAAATAAGTCAGTCAGAGACAAATACCATATGATTTCACTCATATGTGGAATTTAAGAAATGAAACATGAACGTGGGGGTGGGGAGAGAGGCAAAACTTAAAACAGAATCTTAACTATAGAGAACAAACTGAGATTTGCTGGAGGGGAGGTGGGCAGGTAGATGGGTATTAAGGACGGCACTTGTGATGAGCACTGGGTGTTATATGTAAGTGATGAATCACTAAATTCTATTCCTGAAACTATTATCACTCTATATGTTAACTAACTGGAATTTAAAGAAAAACTTGAAACGAACAAACTAAATAAATAAAAAGAACAACAGGTTAAGGCTAAAAGTCCAGGGTATTCCAACGGAAACTTTCCTTTATTAATTCATTGAAAAGCTATTTAAGACTATTCGTACAGCTATTCATTTAATGAGCTACCCTTGCATCTAGGTTAGATTTCTCTATCTCACCCATAACTATATTAGGAAGTCCTTGTGAAATCGAAATATACTGAGTTTCTCAAACTTCCTCGACTTTTCAGATTTTCTGCCCTAAAATTTCAAAAATGCAAAAGCTTCAAACCTGCCTTATGTGGATTAAAATAATTTAGGCAGGGACGTCTGGATGGCTCAGTCAGTTAAGCAGCTGCCTTTGGCTCAGGTCATGATCCCAAGCTCCTGGAATCGGGTCCCACATGGGGCTCCTTGCTCAGCAGGGAGCCTGGTTCTCTCTTTGCCTGCTGCTTTCCCTGCTTGTATTCTCTCTCTGGCAGATAAATAAATAAACTTTTTTAAAAAATTTAAAATAAAATAAAACAATTTAGGCAGCAGTGACAAAAAGCTGAACTTACCCCTTTCATCCAATAGGAGATTTTCTGGCTTAATATCCCTGTGAGTTATCCCAATACCATGCAAATAAACCTAAAAGAGAAACAGAAGGAAGCACACCAAAATTTGGTAACTTACTTCGTTCATGACAATTTTAAGCAAAAGGAAAAGAGACAACTGTACCTACCACCCCCGCCATGAGTTGATGGAAGAACCTCTGAGCATCTTGTTCAGGCATGCCTATGTCTGGCTCTATCAGAATTAATTATGAAAGTTAGTTTGTCAGGTAAACATAATCAGGCATCAAACACAGAGTCTCCTAATTCTAAGGTTAGACTTTTGTGATGGTACTCTGGCAAACAGAATCTTACAGTAACAATTAAAAGACTCTGGTGTCCACTGACTCATACAATACTTAGTAACTCACATTTCCTAATCTGTTATGTGGCAAAAATAAATTAACATCACAGGAAAGTTACAAAGAAAACAACAAACTGCTACCCAAATTAAGAATGGAAGCCATACCCTGAAAGCCTCTGCTTATCTTACACTAACCATCATTTATTTGGTATCTTTCAAATTCTCCCCTAATTTCTTCTAAATGCTATAAAAATATTTTCCCCGCCCCTGAAATGTAATTGCCAAAGTGTTAGCCTGGGCAAATATAAACTAAGTTCACCAAATATTTAACAACAAAATGAAATTTCATACACTCACTCTTACTACAAAGCCATGAATGCCTGCAAAATTCTTTCAGGAAATACAGTTTGATTAAGAAATGTCCTACTGTCCGTTATCTTTTTATATTTTCATCTCCCTCTTTACCTCTTGATTTCTTTTACACTGAACTCTCTCCTGAGATACATACTGGAGAGTCTAATAATCAGTTTTTAAATATGAACACAATAGCTTTAAATAATAAATTTAGATCCACATAATATTAATCTTATGTACTTCTCAGTGTTCTGCAATATCAAGCCTTCAAATTTACATAGAACACTGAAGTAACAAGTACAGAATTTACTAAATATAGGCAAAGCAATCCTAGAAAATTCTCAAGTTAATTTCACTTAAATAAATAAATACAACAACACACTATTATTTTGGTTCTGTAAATGTATATGATTTCGTGTAACTGGAATGTCTACAAAGAAGAATCACTGCATAGGTAAATAATACGTTGCACTAATGATACTTCGCCGTGAGATTAGTTTATCATTCTTACTCTACAAAACAGCAATTCTAATCAAAATCACATACACAATTTAGGGGAAAAGTTTTCCTTGATGATTCCATATATGCTTTAATGTGCTAATATAACTTGCAAAAAACAAGAAAACTTACTCCAATTTCACTGTTGCATAAGCAGTTCTGAATGGACAATGACCAAATCGCACTCAAAATGAAAAAACAAACTTAGAAACTTATTTAGTAAAAATAGTTATTATAAACTTATTTCCCTACCTATTCTGTCAAAAAGTTCTCCTCCACTACAGTACTCCAGAAATAGATACTGGATATTGCCTTCTCTCCTGTGACCATAAAATTTCACCACATTCTCATGATTTAGCATTTTATTGATACAGATCTCTTTCTTAATATTTTCTGGACAGTCTACGGCACGCTTCATGTCTACAATCTTGACTGCAACTGCTTCTTCGGTTCTTCTATTCACAGCAAGTTGAACCCTCAAAAGGAAAAGGAAGACATTTGAATTCTATTTCTTTGAAAACTTCAAAAGATTAAATAGGAATCAACAATTTTATCTTCATTACTTTCTCTACTCAGTAGAAACCAAGAAAATGGTTTCTGCCATGTTCTCAACAGAAACTACTCCTTTCTGAAATGTGAAGTATGATGACTAATGCTCTAAAGAAGTCATTATGTTGTACATCCAAAGGTTATTTAATACATACTTGAAAAACAGGGCACCTGGGTGGCTCAGTCAGTTAGGTGGCTGCCTTTAGCTCAGGTCATGATCCCAGAGTCCTGGGATCAAGCCCCACATCAGGCTCCTTGCTTGACAGGGAGCCTGCTTCTCCCTCTCCCTCTGCCTGCCTGCCTGCAGCTCCTCCTGCTTGTGCTCTCTCTCTCTGACTCTCTGTGTCGAATAAATAATTTTTAAAAAGAAAAAATAAACTAAAATGGAGTAACAGTAATTCCATGCCACATCACATATGCACATGCTCTATTCATTTAATTTTAATAACACTACCTAATGTTTATTAACCTCATACTATATATGTCTGTGGTAACTGTTCTAAGGGGTAGGTACTGTTACTTTCATCTTAGAGCTGAGGAAAACAGAGACACACCTTTAAGAAGTTTGCCTAAGAACACAAACCGGTGTGTTAGTATGTGATGAATGAAGATTTGAAACCGGGCATTCTGACTCCAGAGTCTGTTCATTTGCTCATTTAACCACTATGCTTAAACCCCAAGAAGGAATATGTGGGGGGAGAAAGTGACTTTACAGGTCTCTTCCAGCTCTTTACAGAGAAAATGTTTTTAAAAAAGGTGTGTGGGGGGGCGCCTGGGTGGCTCAGTGGGTTAAAGCCTCTGCCTTCAGCTCAGGTCATGATCCCAGGGTCCTGGGATCCAGCCCCATATCGGGCTCTCTGCTCAGCAGGGAGCCTGCTTCCTCCTCTCTCTCTGCCTGCCTCTCTGCCTACTTGTGATCTCTGTCAAATATATAAATAAAATCTTTAAAAAAAAAAAAAAAGGCTTGGGGGATTAATTCTTACAAAAGATAGTGCGGCTCTAGGACTTCAAACGCCAAGATCTGTTCTCTAAGATGCCACTGTGTTAGAATAAACCATTCCAGAACAACGAGTATGTTCTCGAGACAACAGGGAGAAAACTAAAGCAAGTGTGAAGGCAGGGAGAAAGGACTCGAACTCACTCTCCATAGGCACCTTCTCCCAGGGTTTGCACCAAGTCCCAGTCTTCCACAAAGGGCACCGCCATGACTCCACCACGGACCACGGCTGTCAAAGGCAGGAACACAGGAAAGACGGGGATGAGGATAAGCTTCAACCACCTGCCATGACTCCTCAATATAACAGTTTGGTTTCCCCTTACACCTCGCCCGTAATTTACCCAAGGCTTTAAACCGCGAGCAAGTATTCTAAATTCTGGCATTCTGTGGTGGAAATCACCATCCCCATTCCCACGCAGAACCAAGCAGAAACTGCCTTCCTCAGACCTCTGAGAAAAAGCAGCGGCTCTGTTGAGGAGTCGGGGACACAAACGCTTTGAGGGGAATGACTGGGGACGGGCAGAGGGTGAGACGGGTGAGGGGCCGCGAGCTAGTGGAGACCGACAGAGTTTAACTCCGACGCCTGCAGCCCCTCCTCCCCCCGTGCTCAGCTCCAATTCCCACCCCCCACGCCGCCCCAAAGGCCGGGAGGAGCCTGGGGCGGGGCCAAACTGCCCCAAGAAGCGGAAGGAAGGGCTGGCAGGCCCTCGAGTCCGCCGGCGCCCAAACCTCCGGGGTCTCAAGCCCACAGAGGGGTAGTCTCTCCAATCCCTACACAACGGGACTCCCCTGGTCCCACACCTTTCCACCCTCCGAAACCGCCTCTCAGCGCGAGTGTCTCCGATCCCCTTCGCTAGTCACCGATAACTTTCTCTCGCCATGCCCCTCCCAACTAATGTAGACCCCGAACTCCTTCTACAGGCTCCTTTCCCACCCTACCGGCCGCCCCTCCTCACCAGGCCGTCCTTTGGCCGCCACCACAGGAATCCAAATGCTGCGCTTTTCCCGCCAAAACTCTGCGGGCGTCACGCTGTCGCAAACGCGCGCACCCCTGCCGTAAAGGAGGAGAGCGCGCGTCCCTTCGTCCAGCTGCTTTAAAGGGTGGGCATAATGGGCTTCCGGCGTTGGGAGGTTGCCAGCGATGCGTAAGCCGGGCATCCCGGGCTTAGTTTGGAATCGAGGGGAGATCCAGGCTGGAGAGGTTTAAGAACCGTCGAGCGCATCAGCGCGAAGGATCTCTGCGCCCAAACGCTAGCAGGTATCTTGTGCGTGGGCCGCTGCCGGGGGCGGGGGGGTGGGGGCTCGCGCTCCTGGGCGGAGTCGAAGCCCGCTCGGACGCCGGCAAACTGGACTGCGGGGTCCTCGTATGCCCTCCCGCTACTCTGGACCTGCACAGCCCCCTGCCCTTTGCCTAGCGGCGGGGCAGCATTATGCGAATCGTACTCAGACGTGCTGCTTCTGAAACTTTAAAATGCGGTACGGCTCAGGCTAGAGCTGAAAAGTAGACCAGCTGTTCCGGACCGATCCTGTGAAAAATGTTAACTTTATGGCGGGAGCGAGAAGCACCCAAAAAAGACTGGCTGCGCTGCAGTGTGGGTGGAAGACATCCAGCTGAAGCAGGCTACTCTTTTCGTAGCGTGAGGGCGTGTCAGGATAACTAGTTTTGCCTTGTTTCCGGGCTCATAGACCATAACTTACCCCAAGCTTTTTGTGGGAACAGCATCGCCATACCTGCTTTCCTCCTTCTTAGTATAAGGACAGGTGGAGGCAGAGGACTGTTTGCCTCATTTTACGATGCAGATTTTAAACGCAGAGTAACCAGTTTGAATGGGAAAGAAAATTCTGGGCAAAGGGACTTGGCTAAGAACAAAACAATGTGCAAAACCTAGGTATCCTCCCCACCCTTGACAGTAAACTAGACTGGGAACTCAAGGTGCAGGCAAGATCATCTCCATTAAACTCTCCGGTTCTTAAAATTGGGCCACTTCCTTGAGTATAAAGCTCTTGATTGTGATACTAGTAATAGAATAAAATGAGTGTACATGTTACCAAAGTTTTGAAGCAAAGTCAGGGACAAAAAAGGCAAGGCCAGAGCTCTTCAGAGTGCTTACTAGAGAGGTTTTTAACCATGATGTCAACACTAGGCTTCATGTAATAAAGTAAATTTTCCAGGTCATTTACTGTTTTCTCTCATTTTCACACTGTGTGCTACAAAAATACAAAGTAAAGAAGAGGAGGACCTGCACAGTTCCTGTGTCTGAGTAGAATGAAGGTATCTTAGCCTGAAAAAAGAATAATGTATACAGATTTCGGGCAGAACACCAATAAAAAGATAGCATGTGAGAGAATCAGTGCACACAGTAGCCTCTCTTCCCTTCTCAAACCTTACTAGAGAATAGTAAATATTTAAAAAGCAATTTAATAAAAAATAGTAAATTTGTAAAAGGCAATAACCCACAGAATGGAGTATGAAAAATAAAATTTGGGAAATTGAGAAGTTTCAGATGAATGATAACTTAAAAGATGAATCTTAAAGGCAGCAATAGGAAAGGAAAGCAACTTGATTTGCATCACAGAACTCCCAGAAGGCTCAGGCTGGATTAGTGACTCTAGGTAACTGAATGTGGAGGTGAAGGTGGGGCTAAAAAGAGGATAGGTTCAAAGACTATGTAAGAAGTCTACAGTAAGGAACCTGGGAACCCCTCCCTCCTTTGTGCACCCAAGGAACTGCTCTTCCCCAAAGCTGGTGTAAGACTTGAGAGGGTAAACCCTATCTTAACTGGAGAGCATCAGGCATAGTTAAAGGCTTAATTACCCTACTGAAAACAAAGGTATTAAGTTTATGTACTGAAGGCTGAACCACAAAGCCTTCTTGCCCCACCATACTCCCAGAAACCTGCCAGGTGGACGTATATCCCTAAGAGGATATACAAGTCTTCTTGAGGAGATCTTACCTATATAAAAGATCTAAAAAATACCAATATCAGGGATTCCCTATGTAAATAATTATATAACAACAGAAATATATTCCTATGTAACAATATGAAACTCAGCCAGATCACAGGGGAGAGGCCCACGTTTAGTGAGCCCCACGCCAAACAGAACTTCCGATCCACTTTTTGGGTCCCACTATCTAAGAAGAGCAGACAACCAAAAATTTGAAAAGGTCTTTAATATGATAGATATTAAAACAAAGGTATTTTTTTAAAAAGCTTTTGGACATAAAAAAGTGACAGCAGAAAAAAAAGGAAACTAAATAGGTTAGAAAAAAGTTTAGAAAATATCCCAGAAGGAAGGATAAAGGTGGAAAACAGAAGAGTAAATATAGACTATCAGGAGACTAACCCAGTAAGTCCAATATCCAAGTAACTTAATTTTCAGGAGAAGTTGCGGGAATACACAATTAAGAAAATTTCCCAGAACTGAAGAACTTGATTTGCCATAATTTAAAATACCCAGCACAATGGATGACCCATTCCCAAGTGCATCATTGGTAAAATTTCAAAACATTACATAGAGAGGATCTTAACAGGTCTGGGTGGGAGTTAGAGGAATGTACACATAAAAAAAAAATTTAAGAATCAGAATAGCACTGCAGGGGTGCCAGGGTGGCTTAGTTGGTCTGCCTTTAGCTCAGGTCATGATCCCAGGGTGCTGGGATAGAGCCTCGTATCAGGCTCCCTGCTCAGTTGGGAGCCTGCTTTTCCCTATCCCTGTCCCCTGGCTCCATGCTCTCGCTCTCTATCTCAAATAAATAAATATTTTTAAAAAGAAACAAAGAATAGCACTGCAATTCTCAACAACATTTAGAAGACAGAAAACAAGGGACCAGTATCTTTAATTCTAAGGAAAAGTTATTCCCAACCTGGAACTCTGTACATAGCTAACCTATCAACTGAGTATGACAAGATATGAAAGATCTCAAGAAATTGATCTCCCACATGTTTTTTCCTCAGGAAGGTAGGTAGAGATGATAAGAACGAAGTTAGAAGATTAACACAATATGACAGTGAAAGGATACACCAACCCAACAAGTTAGGTAGCAAATCTAGAATGTAAACCAGTCCAGACTGGAACATATCAAAACAGAAGACCCTCTAAGAATGAACACCTAACAAGTCTGAACACATTGAAAGGATGATGGTACAAATGAAGGAGAGTTTGGGGAGAAATGAGCATCAAGTACAAAACACAAATGAAAAAAAAAAAAAAATACCCTCCCCCAAAAACTAATGCCTGAAAAAAAAAAAAAAAGGAAAAACCACATGGCCTAGTTGTGGAAAACCATAAAGTAAGAAATACTGATCTAATCTAAATCGTAACTGTGATAGAAGCGTAAGATGGTAAGAATGTGTGTGTCCACAGGAATCACAGACTGGTCAAAGAGCAACACCCTCCATTTTCACACCACCAGATGATACCTAAAACTGAAAAACCAACACATAGCAAAATAAAGCAAGTTATTTAATGATATGGAGGTAAGTAATATGAAAATCAGCAGAGTTGAAAGTGGTTGTCTCTGGGCGGGGTGGAAAAATGTTGTTGCTTTTTTAGAACTATGTGATTTTTCTTACACTAAGTGCACTAGAACAATGAAAGTAAAAAGTAAATTTTTAAAAACCATAGCTTCATGTAACCTAAAAGGCAACAATATTAAAATCGTAAGACTAACAACTGTAGTGATTATCCCATATATGCTTCAGAGGAGATCACTTAACAGTTTTTACCTGGTATTGCTCATATTGGTTAAAACAAAACAAGCTCAGAATAACCTCTTCCACTAGGGAGAAACTCTATATATAAAACAAGTAATATATTTATGTATAGTAAATTAAATCTTAACACCAATCTAAATTTCACCCACAGGTCAAACACTTAGTATATAAATTGATTTGGAAGCTTAAGTTTCCTGGGTATACAAGAATACCTGAGCATACCCTTTAGGGGCACCATTATGACTTATCTAAAAGTCATGTAATTGCTCCTGTTTTTTTAAAACAGGTAACACTCAATAGTTACCTTATATTTTTAATGACTTAGGGTTTATATACATCACTGATACATGTCTTATATTGTAAAATACATACAATGTCCTGCTGTACTGAATATAAGGCTATTTGTCCGGACATTGAATATTGATGGAACTACTGTGGTTTGAGTTAAAATGTTTTTAAGTTTCTCTTCTCCTTTACTGAAGTAAGGCTAGCACTATCTCCAGGTACTTGGAGCAATTCCTCCTCCTAATCTATAGCTTATTTGCAAGAGGTTCAAAACCAGATCATTGAATTTATTAGCGGTATATAATAACAACATGGGCCACATATTTAGATGAGACTAAGAGAGAAGCTCACCTTTAAATAATCACAAGAGTTTTAGCATATAAGCTAAAGGAAATGAGCAAAGAGGCGTTTACTATATCGTGGATAAGAGTACTGAAAAGCTGGATTTCAAATAGAAATGTATGATTATATTTCAGCTGATTCAAAAGCACCTGACCATCAAATTCTATACATAATATTGGAGGCGTTTCATTTTCTCTATGAGAACAATTTCACTGTCTGCCTTGAGTCTTCAAAACACCAAGTGATTGAGTCTCACTTGTTTTATCCTTGCTCGAAAACAAAACAAAAACAAAAAAAAACCTAGCCAGTCCCAAAGAATACTAGTGAGAACAGGTGTGGCTAGCCACCTTCTGTCCCTCATAAAAGCAAAGAGCCTCTAAGGACAAGAGATGTTCAAACAAAGACAAGATGGCAACACAGCTGACTTTCCTGCCCAGAAATTGTACTCCTCTGGTTCCACAAACATTTATTCATTTAATAAGTTTACTGAACACCCACTATATGCAAGACATTGTGTTAGGTGCTGCAATTTTTAAAATGACAAAACTGTTTGTACAAGAGGGATCTGAGCTACTCTTTGATAGTGTTCCTGATTTGACAGAGACAGAATGCCCTCCTCTGTCTCATTTAGGGAGCTAAAAGCATGGATGAGGTTTACTTTCTGTCCTCCTACCAGCCCAGCACAAATTTCTGCCTTTCTCAAATCAGTCATAAGTCAAAACAAATAAGGCACATTTTAAAAAAAAAGGTCCCCCCTTTAATTGACCAAAGTAAAGCCATGACATTTCATTTGGTAACCTGCTCAGAATTATAAAAATCACTCCATTTGGCCCAGCCCATACTGCCCAGGGCAAAACTTTCAGACAATACTAATCCCATCGTGCTCGGTTGTTATAAACTGCATATTTAAAAAAACATCTTCAGCGTCCTAAATGTGACGCTCAGT